ACAAGATTATCTTGGCCGCGCGGAGGCGGCGGGCGATAGTGATGCTTAAACTGTGCCGCTAAGGGCGGGAATCGCTTGCGACGGCGAAGCTCCCCATTTCCAGAGGCTGGCCTACCGGCATTATGTAGGCGAATTGTGATCACGGCGACACAACTTATTGAGCCTTAAAGCCTTAAATGAAAGTCTCTTTTGGCGCTATCAAATTTCCGACGCGATTTTCTTTAACAATCTCGGAATGGAAAATGCAAAAATAAATCCTTGCTCCTAGACTGCAGTCGTTCAAGCCACCACGTCTCATCGCTTTCGCCGATGTAGACAGTAGACATTCTTCAGATACTATGAAGAACTTTTCATGACTGCAAAAAAACTACATTATTTGTATCTGAAAAGTAGTCAAGCGAGCAGACGATTCACCTAACGTTAAGTGGTTACCGCCGCCTTTCAAACCTATGGGGGGGCCCCCCCCGATCACTAGACGAAACGCGTAAATATAAAAAAAAATACTTGCACTTCATGCCAGTCTTCTGTTAGACCGTGGTACTTTCCCGGAGTTGCCTGCCCATTCGTGCAACAGCCGAGGCTGCTGCGCGGCCCTACCACGGTAAAAATACTAAAAAATATACAAAGATATTAAACAAATTTTATAAAAGTGCGAATGCATACAAGTGCAGCGTCAACGGTCACGGAATCGACGTCGGTTTTTCATGATAAATAAATATCCTATTGGTCTACTTCTCTTCTTTTCTCATCTTTTAATCACGTCTCACTCAACATTAGCAACATTGTAATAATACCTCTTACAGTACTCGATGGGTAATGAATCAAACGGAGCTCGCTCTCCGACTCGCGGCAAGGCGCTCTCCGGGCCGTAAAGAGAAAGAAATCGAACACTAAACGATTCTAATTTAGTGAGATCGGGGTCTTAAACGATCGTGGGAAATCCCGCCATCGGCCAGGGGATGTCCGTTCGGGTGTTTAATGAGCAGAGGCCGGTTACGTGCAGTCGGAATCAAACGGTTCTGTTTCACGATCTATTTGCTTCGATCGCATGGATTTATAGGAAATACTTTTATAGAAACATATTCAAATATCTTTATTCAATTATTATTGATTTGACACGCATTACACTTATTGATTGTCAAAACGCTACTACATACCACCAAAGATATAGATAGGGAGGGAAGAAAGAGGAAATATCTATGTTAAGTTACTATATTATAAAATAGTTAAATCGTTTAAAGCTTTACAACATGGTTACGTTCTTCGTCGAAGTATGGATAAGCGAGTTTTTTCAACGTTTCCTTTATATGCGCATTATATTTTTATTCCTACACAAGATAAATGAAACGATTTATTTTGATTCTAAACTCGCGATGCTTCAAACACTACAACGTTCATGGTCACGGAGTATACTCTAGTTTGAAGTCATTTGTCTCTTGACATTATATTTAATGCTACTGTGATAAAAAGCTCATACGTAAAAACTTGTAACTTCAGCTTAAAACCCACAGGAAATTACATTTCTAAAGTTCTCTACACAAAAACGAGACTACAGACTAGATCGATCGTATTAGAATAATTACAGATGGCCCGAATGCGTCACTCTGGCAGCGTGCCGTTCCGCGTTGGCTAATTGTTAAATTCGGTCATCAAATAAGACCCGAAATTGGCCAAAACCGCAATCGGGCGCGGCGAGACCGCATCGTCCGCGAACTAAACACTATCGATCCGGCGTCCGCATATATTCATTGTAAAAAACGGCTCACGGTTTTAACGGGACTAATGGTCGCTCGCTATCGGCTGGAAAACGACAAGCGACGGGTGACCACCGTTGTCGCAATGCACCGGGCACGAATGTGAAACAGTCATCTTAAGGTGTAAGGCATTAGAAAAGCGAAAAACGCATCGGTGAACGCCATTATGATATACAACAAACGGGCAAAAGAACAATTTGCTATATAAATAAAGAAAGCCTTTGAGGGATTTGCTCAAAGCACCAGTAAGAATGGAGATATCAATGAGAAGCTTGTTATCACCAGCAAGATCAGAAGAAGACTGGTCGAAATACTAACCGTTGACCAAACAGGTACCATCTACATAAAAAATTAGTTTCTAAGTATGTATGTGACCACAAAACTCAAAAACCAGCCGATTGATCGACATGTCATTCAACATAGCTATATGATAATTTTTATTCAGAAGTTCCAACAGACAAGAAAACTAACCCACAGCAAAGCGTAACGGGGTTCAGCTGGCACTTTATATAGATACTACACCGTGCAATCTAAAACATGATCAAAATACAATGACACAATCATGATCCACAACTACACCTAGTTCTGTCATCGTGTGCATGTAACACTATCAACGGACGTGATGTAGACAGTGAGGAAAAATACGAATGGATAATGATTTTGATTCGTAACTACGAACACGACGAAAATACCACAAACACGAGGAAAAATATGAATGGATAATGATTGTGATTCGTAACTACGAATACGAGGAAAATACCACAAACACGAGGAAAAATATGAATGGATAATGATTGGGATTCATAACTACGACCTCAAAGGACCAATCGGACACGCTGCCACTTGGCTATAACTGTTGCAAAAATCGATACGACGACAAACGCCTTCCCGTTTCTCGGGCTCAATAAGGTTTTAATATTTAAACATCTGGGCCATAATTGGGTAACGGTTAATTAGGGGTACGTATCGAGGGTCCGTTCCCGGATTCCTGTCGGTTAAAATGAATAACGTTCGCTCAACAATTTATAAGGCCCGATTGTGGCTCGGTAATTTGTATTAAGACAGAATTAATATAGTTGAGTGGGGGCACCATTGAGTTCTGCCCTGCTGTTCGATCAGCAATTTGTACCGATTACTTGAGTACAACATTCGCAGTAGCTAAAACACGCGTTTGCCTAAAAAGTCCTATAAATTCGCCTTGCTACAGGATTGAATCCATACTAATATTATAAATGCTAAAGTAACTCTGTCTGTCTCTCGCTTTCACGCCAAAACTACTGAACCGATTTAAATGAATTTTGGTACACAGATAATCTAGAGCCTGAGAAAGGACATAGGCTATTTTTAATTGGAAAAAACTTTAAAATATATGTATATTTTAAAGAAAGATATTTATTAAAGGGCTTGAACGCGAGCGAATTGCGGGCGAAAATCTAGTCAAATATAATAATGTTGCTAATGTTAAAACGAAAAAATCTATTTGATTTAGTGAGACGAAACATAAAAGAGAAAAAATAGATAAGTACATTAGATCCTGAAATTACATGAAAGAAGTCTCTCTCTAATATAAGAGTAACATTTCTTTGATAGATTTGATGTAATCACTCGATACTTGGGTTGAGTTAACTTTTTAGAATGTATTTCGATGAACATAAAAAAACTCAAAAGGCGTTTTTGGCAAATAATGTTTCGTGCAAAATAAATTAGAAAGATTGATGGACACGCGAAATACCAGACTGCTGTGTAAATCGCTTAGCGGCATGATGAAATGTAAATAATGTCCGTACACAAAGATACTTTAAGTGAATTCACTCGCGAAGTATAAGTCTACGGTAACTTTATTGGATGATGCGAATTTGTATAATTGATTACATTAGGTGCTGCGTCATTCGAATGATGGGTATCTTGTTGTTAGGGAAAACAAACGTTTAACTAAACATTTCGATGTATACACGAAGTCTGACAAGAATCAAGAGGTCGCGGCATTTGGTTCTCAATAAGGCGCGTGCACTCCATACATTCAAAGACATTGCCCCAAAACACCTAAAGAGACTATTATATTAAAGATTTACTGATGTTAATTGTTAATGATAATTTTACTTTAACTCTAAGACTTTTCGTGTTTATTGAGTTCCAAATGTAATCATTGCTAAGTTTATTCTGAGATCTCCGTGAACGCAACTGAAGTCAATAGCTACATGTGTAGTTTTCAATTAATTGCTTTCTTATACATATTCAGCCTTGCCTTGCAATTGCACACATTGTATGGCGCCAAACTGAACCGCATGTCTTATTGGTGATAAGAAAGTGTAGAACAATTAAAAGGTCACCCTCGTCGTTGGGTAGTCCCTATTTCCGATCTTTAGAGAGATGCATCCTGTATACCTCATAAACCTTAAAAACCGAACCGTAAATCTTTACTCTTCCGTTTTGTGTCGTTCTTCCGTGAGTCGGGGGTTCCCCGGACGAACCGGTAACTTAAGCATAAGAAATGTTCGGAACGGAATAGTGTTATTTCACAACTAGCTTTCAACCGCGGATTCGCCCGCGTTGATGCCTTAAATAAATATCTTTTTTATTTTCTTTTATAATAAAAATAATCCGATGTCCTTTTTAATACCTCTAAGAATATCTGTACAAAGTTTCGTGACAATTGGTTGAGTAGTTTTGCCGTGAAAGCGTAACAAATAAACTTTATTCACATTTATAATATTAGTTAGTAGGGGTTTTAAAGCATTTTTTTATGTGAAAAGTTGACAAGCGTCCAGATGGTTCACCTGATAAGCGATTGCCGCCGCCACTGGACATCTATGATCAACACTGATTACTGTCAGATTAAAACTGTACCTAATCTACGGTGATAGATAAACCATCTGTCAAGTCCTGATAATTAAGCCTCGGCGAATCGTGGCCACCGTCAGCAATCTCTACCTCTTTAGAACCATAGGCGTTTTGGTATTTACTAACTTAGTTGTTTTATTAAGTCCAAGTATGGGTAAACGGAAGAATTAAATATTATGAGTTACGGACTTGATTAAGAAATAAGTATAGCATATAAAAATATATAAAACACTGACGTGTCGTCCTATACATAATTACTGTGACCTTTTAAATGTATTTAAATCCTCCACTGTACTTTATATAACTACTAATTAAAATAATTTATTACGTGAAACTTTCATCATTAAGTATGGTAATACAATTCGTTACATTATTAATAGCCACGTTGTAATCAATATTGGTTTATATTAGTGCGATGGCCGCTTTTAAATTATTTGTAGGGTGCGGGCCGTGACTGCAAACAAAATATCGCACGGGACGTGAATCGTTCAACAGCAGGCCGGATATCTTTAATACGAGCCGCGATATCGTATTGAGGTTAGGCGATATTTCCACCTCCGGGACGTGGTGGGGTTTGAGCGCACCCCACATACGATATTTCTGGAGACGCTGATTAGATATGGAAAATATTGCGGGCGTATAGCTGTCGCGATTTATGCGCCGGGCGGCGATAACGGCGCGAAAGATGGGGCCCTTAATGGCGGGAATTGACCAGAATCGCCCCGGATCGGCCATCCCGGGCGCCTGTTTTTACATATTATCCTCCGGGATCGCCATTAAATTACCGGGCGGCCTATTTTTTCCCGCGCGGCGGTTATGAGCCGCCATATTTCTGGAAGGTGCGCCCGAAACGGCGACTCGGGAGGCGAGAGGCGAAAGGGGAACAATTACAACCGGCCATATTTCAATGAGGCGCCCCGCTTTTACTTAGGTCCGAGATGAACGTTTTTCGGCTATTCTTTCAACGAATTCAAGTGGAGATTTACGGTTTCTCGACTAGGAACATTAGGTTCATTTAATTTTTTTATGTGAATAGTCGTCAAGCGAGCAGGCCGGTCACCTGATGTTAAGTGATTACCTGCGCCCATCTGCAAACATCTGCAACACGCTTAAACGTGCGTTGAAAACCTTTAAAAAGTGGGCAACGATTACCACAATCCTCAATCGCGGACGAAACGCGAGAGTTTGATGACTCCGTGGCGCAGTTGCCAAGTTATTGGCTTCGGCGTCGGGGGTCGTGGGTTCGATTCCCACACGGGACAACTATTTGTGCGACCCACAGATAGTTGTTTCGCATCTGGGTGTTTGTCCTCGTGTAATTTATGTTTGTAAAACGTCCTTACAACACAGGATGGTGTTATCCTAAAGTGAGGGCAATGTAAAGAAAAAAGAAAAAAAAAAAAACGCGAGAGTAGGTATAATACTTTCACTTCGCACTGGTCTCCTGCGGGGCCGTGGTTGATATGGTGAGTAGATATGGCCGTGGTATAAGATGGATACCCGGACGAGCCTGCCCATTCGTGCAACAGTAGAAGCTGCTACGTGGCGCTATTAAAAGTTAACGTGAGTTAAGTTTAAGTTAACGATGATGTAGTAGCAATCATAAGTTCTCGAGTTTCGCAGCGTGCTTACATGGACCTTTCGTAACTGCAAAAATCCCTATCTCCAATTGGTACCGCGTGAACGCACGCGGACTGAGGACGCAACCTGTAACGTTTTGGATAAAACAAGTTCGTTGATCTGTGTCAGTGGCTTTGTGCGTAAACAATTGTACTGCTGGAAGTTACGTGTTGACATATTATCGTCTTTTATTGAGAAGTTGGTAAGCGTGCAAGTGGTTCACCAGATTAAGTGCTTATTATTTATCGGTGGTAGAGCCACGCAGCAGCCTCGGCTGTTGCACGATAGGGCAGGCTCATCCGGGTAAGTACCACGACCTCACAGAAAACCGGCGTAAAGTGCAAGTATGACAAAAACTTTCGCGTTTCGTCTGGTGAGTGAGGTAGCCGGAGCCCAATTTCCAAAAAAGTTGTCAACGCATCTGCAAACCCTCGGGTGTAGCAGATGTGTATGGGCCCGCCGCCCACTTAACATCAGGTGAACCGTCTGCTCGTTTGGCAAATTTTCACATAAAAAAAAAAACTGCTACCCCTGGATATGATCCTGAAGAATAGCAGTTGCGTTACTTTTAAGAGGAGCACAAGATACCTCCCTCACTCACCGGTAGAAACGCAAAAGAATAAAGGATTGGATATGATATACCTGAAAGCTTGTGGCGTTACTTTAAGAGGCATCAGTTACCTCACTCACTAGACGAAGCAATAATTTTACTTTACACATTTCTTCTGCGAAACAGTAACTTTATAAAAATTCTTATGTATTTCTTTTGTAACTACCATATGTTTCATCACATTTTATTATCACTAGTCTACTAGCTTCGCCAGTTCGGAAATTTTTTGTTGTACATAATATAGTATTTGTATTTTCTCTGTAAGTGATTTGGTGTTAATCTTTTGAGAAAATAAATCTTAAACCTTAAACAGTGGGTCCCAGGATGGCTCAACTAGAGTAAAGTGAGAGGGGTTTGCCACGCCAATTTCTGATTATCTATACCATTGCATATAGAGCGCAAGAGGAAAATAACACTCCCCCTCAGAAAATACGAATTCAGGAAAGCTAGTCCAGTATACAATCAGTGTCAGGAAAATGGCTTAAAAAGTAAACAGCCTATACATGTCCCACTGCTGGGCAAAGGCCTCCTCTATACAGAGGGTATCAGGGCATAGTCCACCACGCGGTCCCACTGCGCATTGGCGGACTTCACATATCTTCGAAATATATATTATTAAATATAAATATATATTTTTGTTATTATTTCGAAAATATGCAGGTTACCTCACGATGTTTTCCTTCACCGCGGAGCACGTGATAAGTCAGCACTTAAAGTTAAAAACTTCATTGGTGCCGGCACCGGGGATCGAACTCAGTTGCTCGAGTATATTGAAGTAAAGGCGAGCGCCCGGACACTGAGCTATCACGGCTCTTTTGAAATTAAAATTGGCATTGACACACATAAAATTGGCCATTTAAAATGGCTTCATAAATGAAGATTCCGCCAATAATTGACAAGTCACTTCAATTATTACATTATTGAATGATCGTTCTAACTCAAAGTTTTCAATAAACACGATTTTTGTAATAGGCTGAACAGCTCCTGTAGGCTCTTCCGGTAAATCGAATGATGTTCGAAAAATAACCACGGCTGTATGTACGTTGCGCACCTTAAATGTTTGTATAACATTTAAGAACTGAGTTAATGAAAAAAAAAAAAAGCAGTAACATACAAAAGTCACGAATAGATCTTTAACACTAAAAGGTGCTACATCACTATGGTTACATAATATTGTGCCACATACGTTGCGAAAATTATATAAGCGTTGATCGCCCACACTAATGCCGCTATTAAAAGCTTTCAGAATCTGGGTGTGGCCCAACCTCAAGTGATAAGTGCTTTCCAATTGTACAAAGCGGTGGGTAAATGCAAAAGGCTGGTAATACCTTAACCGTCACACCATCTCCCTTCTCGGAGGGCTATCAACTGAAATAAAAAAATAAATAATATTAAAATGGCACACGCCTTGGAATTTTGTCATTTTCCCTATCTTAAACGTCTTCCTCACTATATAGAAGGCAAAGAGGCATTAAAGATATATGTGTTAATACACATGCAGTATAAACTCGGGTTATTCTTTACATTGATCGAGGTTTGAAAGTATCTTTATAAGAGCAACTATATTGTTTATTCATTTACATGGTGCATCATCCAAATCCCGTACGATTCTTCCAATTAAAAAGTATAGAGTACGTATAACATAGGGCGTTTCGACGTCTACAAGAGACAGCAAAAAAACCCGACCCATACTTCGCATACAAAATCAGAACTTTTCTATGCTGGGAGGAAACAAACGTCGAACTGAAAATCGGCTATGCAATCGAATGCGACCGAAAGGGAGGCGAGATGCGAATTCCGCGGGTGCGAGGGAGTGGGACGCAATGCGGACGGGGGGAGGACGTGAAAGGAATCGAAAACGCGGGGGCGCGAGTGCCGGCTGCAGTTTGCGTCGGTTTGCGTTACGGGTCACTTTTCCTACCCAGTCGCTATATGTAACGGGACGTAACGCAAACCACGACCATTGCGGTTGTGACGTCGATTACTAAACCCCGCTCAATGATCTCGAAACTGAGCCAACACAATACTGGTAAAACGTACGATAATTACGTTTCCTATGGAAAATCAATTTTGTACATAAGCAAAGAATGTATCGGTGGAGTTTGGCTTACATCTTTCATTTGCACATCAATATTCATGGAACTCACGTAATAAATATATGACCGCATAGTTTCTAGTAGTACAGCATAGGATTACTGTGTATTTTATAACTTTAAAAACTTATGGTAGACTTTTACACTCGTAAATGCTTCAAATTCAAATATCTTGTTTTAATATAGAAGCATTATTACTTATTGATTGTCAAACTAATACTCGGACAGAACAGCCTAAAGTAAATAAAAGTTAGTTTGACTTTGAATCCGCTTGGAACTTTATATCAATATTCCATAATAATTGTCTAAGAAACCATATTCGTCGGGACTGACAAAATTATGTTTGTCTGTCCTGAAATTAATTTTTGTTAGTAAAGCGTCGACGAAAATCGGCTCGACAACTAAGTGGCTCCTTTGAAGGGCTAAGTAGTCCTAAATACTGTTATGAAAGCTCTAGTGGGTTCAAAGATACACAGCCCTGACTTTATGCTTTGACGATAAAATAGAAAGAAAACGGATTATAAACGCATTGACATAAAAATCAAAACTTGATAGTGCAGAGAAGATAACTTATGGAAGATAAATATTATTATAAATTGTATGATACAACAACTTGATCGGCAAGTGGATACTGAACTTGTTTCTTACGCCAGATGATGTGGGTTCCAAACCCACACCTGAAAAATATTTTCTGATAAATATGGTGTTTTTCTAGTGTCCGGTTGTGTATGAAATACCATTGGCGAACTGATTGGCCTAGTGGGTAGTGAACCCGCCTCTTGCACCAGAGGGTCCCCGATTCCAACTACTTGAAAAATATTGTGTAATGAACAGGTTATTCCAGTGTCTTGGTTTTTTTTGTCAATGCGAAAAGTTGCCAAACGAGCAGGCGGTTCACCTGATGTTAGGTGAATACTAGGTTAGGTGCTATCTGCTAGACCCAAGGGTTGTCGATGCATTGACAACCTTTTGAAAATTGGGATCCAATTTTCAGTTTTTTCATGTTGGACGAAACGCGAAAGAATTATACTTCCACTTCACGCCGGTCTTCTGTGAGGTCGTGGTACTTACCCGGACGAGCCTGCCCATTCGTTCAACAGCCGAGGTGCTGCGTGGACCTATCACCGTGGTGTTTCTATATTGATAATATGTATTCATTTAAAATAGAAAAGTATGTTTAAGCATGTTTATTAGTTATCTAGTAGTACAATCACTGCTTTGTTTTTAGGCTAGAGAATGTTGTGGAAAAATCTCCTAAAAATATATTATATATTTACTTACTAAAAAGTATGTTTTGTAATTTTATAGTTTTTATAGTATAGTCCCTATACTACATCATATTTTAAAGTTTTATAGGTTACTCATATGAAGATGTTGCCTCAACAATCAATTGATTTGAGGACATATAGTCG